ATATGTGCACATGTATGTATGTATGTATGTGTATATATACATATGTACACACACACATCACACACACATGGTCCCTCATTTACAATGGTTTGACTTAACCATATTTTTGATTTCACAATGGTTCAGAAGAATATCAATTTGGTACGCTCCTCAACTTATGATGGGGTTATGCCCAGATAAACCCATTGTAAATTGAAAAGCCATGGTTTTTCAGAACAACATAGATCTTTTTGCCTCTTGCATTTCCAAGTTACATTTATTTAATGCTAATTGCATCATTATTTAGGATGCTGCCTCATTCATTGTGCTGCTCATGCATAATGGCTTTAAATATCTGACAAAATTTTCAATTTACAATGGGTTTATTGGGGCATAACTCCATCATAAGTCAAGGAGCATCTGTATGTATTATCATATATTATGTACCACATATTATTATATAAGATAAAAGTTTGCTCAAATAGAGAAATTTGCAGGAAAAGGTAAGGCTGCTTATTGGCAATATTAGTCAAGTTTCTGAAAAAACATAATTGGCAAACTCAAGTTGGGACCCTTAAACTAAGACAAACATATATTCACAATTTAGGGAAACCACAAGAGACCACAGGGATAGTAAATGTGGGGATATTTACAACTGCCAGTCCCAAAGAGAAGGTGTTCCTGGAATCTAGAAACCCAGAGATCATTCTAGAAAAACCTACCTGTCAGGAGTTGAGATTTACTTTGAGGGATTCACAGAGCCCATGGTGACCTACAGGTAACCCACAGTAAAGCAGCAGGTGGGAACTAAAACAGATATCCTAACCTCACTCTCCTTCTACCCTCCTGCTTATGATTTCTGTTTTCTGAACCCAACCAGATGCCATAGGTCTAAGAAGGCTATCAATGCAGTACATACTCATGAGTCCCCTAGGACACAGAATATAAAATGAACCTGGAGAGGCAAAGAGGAGATCTCCAGCACATTGACTTACATTGATGAAGAAGTGGGAAAAAATTCTGAACAAAAAATTGTAGGCTAGTATTTCTATATATTCTCCTTTCAGTTACTATTCTATACTGTTTCAAGATTATATCTGTGATATTAGATATTGTCTCCCTTTTTTGTTCTCAGAGTTCTCTTAGAATCATTTTGAATTTTTTGTATTCTTTTAGACAGCCCAAGAGTTATCTAAAATAATGCCAATAAAAAATCATTTGGACTAATACACTTTGAAATCAAATGTAGTATATTTGCGCTGAGGATTAAGATGACAAAAAGGGTGGGGAATGGAATAATCATGTAATTGCCATGCATATTCTATGTATTCCTAGGTTTCTCACATAATTTTAGACTATTCTCTCCCTGAGGCTCAAAGTGGAATGAAGGAACAACTGAGATGCTATTTGTATGTTTTAGAAGATTCATGGACATTAAGGAAAACACTGAGCTTTCTACAGTATTAACTGATACTGTAATTCAAAAATATTAATACAATAATGCATAGTAAGATATAGCAAACTTTATAGAAAATTCATGGACCAAGAAGAGTCACTAACTTTTTATACTTTATACTCTTTCATCATAAAAGAATTCAAAGTTCCTGAAGAGAAAATGATTTTAAACTTGGAACTATACCAATAAAGATATAACTAAAATATCTTGAAAAATTTCAGTTATCACAATAGCTCACATATTCAAGAAATGTACTTGATTTGTTCATTACATATACATCATATTCAAATGGCAAGAAAACTTTTATTATTTAGTTTATATTTGTAAAGCATCTGATTATTATTAGTATGTTGTCTAGCTCATAGCAAGAGCTCAATAAATGTAGGTTGAATCAAGGAACATTTGCTTGTCATGTGAGCATTACTAACATCTAGTGGTCAAACTAAACATATTTCTTGAACAAATAAGTGACAATCTTTTATATAAGCAATTTAGTGAGCTAAAGAACTACACTCTTAAATTTAGTATTTCACTGATGTTATTGAATACCAAAAAATTCTAATTAGAATAAGTAATAAAGATAATGTCCATTTTAATAATAGTTGGATCTACTGTGAAACACTCTGCTATTCTGGTCAATTGTATTATTTCATGTAATTCTGAGAAAAACCACATGAAATGTGATTTATCATTTTCATCACCTTTGTGAATCTATAAGAAGGAACATGAGGCTCAGATAAGTCAAGAAATGTTTTCTCAGTTACCAAATCACAGAAAAAAGATTTAAGTTGAAGTTGTCTAACTTCAAAGTGTTAACTCTAGATATAATGTTGTAAAAGATTTATCATAATAGCCAGTGTTAATTTATCAATTAATTTCTAACAAATAATTGCTTTCTACGTATTATTTTATTATATCATTACAAAAATGCTACAAGTTGATATAATTTGTTCTCATTTTCCATTTGAAAAAAACAATACTTAAAATGACAAATTTAATTAACAAAGGTCATAGAACAGACAGGTGGATCAAAAGTTCATGTTCTTAATCCATGTTAAACTGCTTTCCTTTATATAAATATATATTTAACATTTATGTTGATATTTCCAGTAATCAGTATTATATATAGTATTAGAGGCATTATATACTCCCCCAAATCATATAATATAATTCTTATAACTGATGTAGTTCATGGTTTGGAAACTTAATTTAGAATTTCATTTCTGCCATTTATTAATGTACCTCAATTTCTGAGCTGACTTGAGGAAATGCTGTCTTTTTCCTAAAGGGCTCTTTTCCTGCCTTCACCACCTACACCAAAAATAACTGTTTAGCTGGTACCACAGTGAGATTTAAAGTGATGGTATGAGGCCACTTTGCCTCTGACTGACTAGACTCCTGGGAACTGTTCAGGAGAGTGTACTTGCTAGAGGATGCACAGATTACAGATCATCAGTAAGCAGAAAACATAGAGCTCTGTTCTTAGGGATATAGAAATTTTCTGCTTTCTCCCCAGGTCCCAGGACACAGCCCACTGCAGGGAAGCCCTTCCCAGGGGACTAGAGTTCTTGTATAACTCCTAGGCCCTGGCTGTTGAGAATTCAGTCACTCAGAGGTTGCAGTCTGTGGCATCCAGTCCTTCACAAACAATTTTGCTGATGCTGCGCAGAGGTAGGTGAGTCAGCTCCTGGTTACGCTGGAAGAGAGCCCCCAATGACAATAAATAACATGATTCATGAGATGATGAAGCTTCAGTGACTCAGCTAGAGTTGCTCTGGATAAGGCCATCTCCAAGATACAAAGCAAGAGACAGAGATACAAGTTGTGTTGAGAATAACCTGGATTCATAGCCACGAATCAGACACTAAAACAAAAGCACACAGCATAACATGCACTGTGATAAATTAACTAATATCAGCAAATACAGGAACATATACATGGACACAAACATATCAACAAAATTGTTACATGCAAACACAAGGGAAAATGCTAATGGTAACTGTCATTGGCTGGCACAGATGATGTCTTTCCTTCCCTGTATCTTTCCATTTTGTCATCTCAAAAGAGAATTTCTTACACTCAGTAATCACTCTGGTAGAAAGAGGTTACAGCACATTTGAAAATGAGAAACAGATACACTGAACAATGAAACGTCTGGGAGCCCAGGTAGAGAGGTTATTGAATTCTGCTTCAAAGGATGGAAGCCAGTCCCTGGGTGAAGGCCGTCATAGGCTTCCCAAGTAATTGAGTGTCTTAAAGGGAAGAGACAGGTTCAAGAAAGGAAAGTAATAGAGAGCCTCGGAGATTTATGGTGGAGAAAAACTTAGATAATATATACAGAAACACTTATTACACAGAATAAAATATTAAGTACATAAAATGAAGATTGCTACATCAATAGCGGTCATAGCAATGGTAACGATTTGTAGCAGAAGCAGTGATACAGACAGACAATAATTTTTGTTGATAACAATAAGATTATTGACCAGGAACATTCTGAATTCATAATATATTTAGAACACCAAAGGGCCTTTTAGAAAGTTTCTCTAAGACTACTAAACCATGGAAGGATTACTATGACAATAGAAATCTTGTTTAAGGCAAGGAACAAAAGACTGCATTGCTAGAATTTAAGTCCCATCTTTGTCTGACTCAATCCCTGATATATGCCTGCATTTGGAGCAGTATCTGCTACACAATAAGCACTTTACAAATACTTGTCAAATGAATTAAAGTATTGATAACTAGAAACTTCTATAATATAACAGATAAGGACAAAGAGCAGTACTAGTGGTAACTTTGGAGATGAATTTAGTCAAAAATTTAAGTCACTGGAAGCAGTTAGAACATGTAACAATCTATGAAATTTTAGCATGTTGATATCTAGCTTATATTGTTTATTGCAAAAATAATATAACAAATCTAACCAGGTGAAATAACTTTCACCTTCCTGATCATGCTACATGCTACCATAAGAAGTCAACAGAGAAATCGATTTCTCAAACCATATATAACTACTCAAATCATCTCCCCTACTACCACACAGAGCCTCCTGTTCCCTTCCCTTAAGGCGTGAATCACTGTGTTTCAATTTCATTTTATTAATGTGATTATATTGGTGTCTCAGACTCTTTTAAAGGAAAAATATTGAGGAACACTGGTGAAAGGGAATAAATTAGAGAAAAAGGTTAAGATAAAAGATGCTTTAGTTAACTCAGTAGTTTTGAAGAAGAATAAATATTGATTAACAGCTATTTCTTTTTTAATAGATTCAGGGTGTACAAATTGAATTCTATTACATGCATATATAGTATGGTAGTGAAATTTGGGCTTTTAGTGTACTCATTACTGGAATAGTGTACATTGTACCTCATAGGTAATTTTTCATCCCTCAACCCCTCCCAACATCACCCATTTGGAGTTTCTAATGTCCATTATATCACTCTGGGTGTCCATGTGTAACAATAGTTTAGTTCTCACTTACAAGTGAGAACATACAGCATGTATTTTTCTGCTCCTGAGTTGATGATGGCATGAGGGATTGTCCATTTGTATTAATATAACACATTATAAATAAAGCAGAAAAGAAGACCATAAATCACAAAAGGCTCTGAAAAATATCTGGGAATATCCAGTGTTTTCTGTTCAGGAAAGGGAACATAATATAACACAGTGAGGGACAGGACTTTGCAATTCTAGGAGGGAGCATTGTTCCCCTGGAATTCTGTAATAGTCTCCCAATGTGTTTTATTTCTTAATTTCATTCCTTAGTTCAGATCCAAACACTAGCTACCCAATCTTTCACCTTTACTGGATTCCCTCCCACATAGCTTCCTGTTATTTTTCCAGGTCTACTTTGCAAGAAGGTATCATACCCCTCAACCACAGACTGGCTGAGTCATCATCTCCACCTCAATCCCAGTCCAGTGATAGTTCACATAAACACACACACACTTCCTCTTGGTTATTCTTTGCATTCTTATTAACAAGTATAATTAGTAATAAGTATATGTTAATTTAATGTCATATTCAGGTTCTTCCTTAGAGACTGAAGGGACAGAAGACATAAGAAGTGCATGGTTGCTGTATTTGGAAATTTTCTGCATGGTTTTCTATGTAGGTGAGGCAAATATTTCAAAGAGTGATTATCTTTTCAACTGTGCTTCATATTCTCTTTCTAGGTCTTCTCTGCTGTATTATGGAATTAAAGAATGCATTTTCTATTTCTTCAAGAGATAGGCAATATACTATGAAAGAAATTAGGGTTTCTCACTGGAAGCAAGAAAACTCCCGTAAGAAATGTGTCTGTAACAAATGCCCACCAATATGCTTCATACCAACAATACACAGTTCCACCCTTCCTCCTTCCTTCTAATAGGGATCCCAGGGCTGGAAGACGTGCACATCTGGATTGGCGTCCCCTTCTTTGCAGTGTATCTAATAGCCCTCCTAGGGAACATCACTATCCTATTTGTGATACAGACTGAACACAGCCTCCATCAACCTATGTTTTATCTCTTGGCCATGTTGGCCTGCACTGATCTGGGCTTGTCCACAGCCACCATCCCCAAGATGCTAGGCATTTTCTGGTTTAATCTTGGAGAGATTTTATTTGGTGCCTGCATCACACAGATGTACACCATCCATATATGTACTGGTCTGGAGTCAGTGGTGCTAACAGTCATGGCCATAGATCGCTATATTGCCATCTGCAACCCTCTGAGATATAGCATGATCCTTACCAACAAGGTAATAGCCATTCTGGGTATAGTCATCATAGTCAGGACTTTGGTGTTTGTGACTCCGTTCATATTTCTCATCCTAAGATTACCTTTCTGTGGTGTCCGGATTATCCCCCATACCTACTGTGAACATATGGGCTTGGCAAAGTTAGCTTGTGCCAATATTAGAGTCAATGTTATATATGGCTTGATTGCTTTCTCGGTGGGATACATTGACCTTTCTGTGATTGGATTTTCTTATGTCCAAATCCTCCGAGCAGTCTTCCATCTCCCATCCTGGGATGCCCGGCTCAAGGCACTCAGCACATGTGGTTCCCATGTCTGTGTCATGTTGGCCTTCTACCTGCCAGCCCTCTTTTCCTTCATGACACACCGCTTTGGCCACAACATCCCTCATTACATCCACATTCTTCTGGCCAATCTCTATGTGGTTGTTCCCCCTGCCCTTAACCCTGTTATCTATGGGGTCAGGACAAAACAGATAAGAGAACGGGTACTTAGGATGCTTAACCATAAAAGCTATTGACGTGTATGTCCCATTGTGAATATTCCATATAGCTTAGTAAGACAATAATGAGATCAGAACAGAAGTAAACATTAGAAACATTTCTGTTAAATTCCTCTGGAATTCCCACACAAGCCAATCACATTATATTTCCCACCATTGCTTATAATTTCAGTACATGTTGGAAAGCACAGCTCAAAGATTCCAAAACAATCTCTCTACTCTGCCCTATTAAAAGTACAAAAAATACTCAGATTTAAACCCCATAATACTTCAAAATTCCTAAAGAGAAAAACAGTTTTACAAAAACTTGTCCCAGTAATTGACTTGAATGATACTTCTATATGTAGATTCTCTTCATTTACATGTCAGAAGCTGGAGCTCATAACTGTACAAAGAATATAGGATTTAATCAAAATTAAGCAGGATACAATGGCAAGAGAAATTAATTTGGAGTCATATGATCTAGATTTAAATACAGGCTATGGCCTTACCTGGAAGTTTGACCTGAGAATTTTACTTAGAGCTCTTTGAGCTTCAATACCCCTGCCCATAAAATGCCATAAATCAATATTAATTTGATATTGTGAATTAAAAAAAAACACTATTGTGAAAAATCTTTGCAGCTTTTAAAACATTAACATATTTGGGAAGAAATAAAGTGAGTGCTTACTAAATGCAGTTACAGTATGGTTGTAATTTCCAGTGTACATAGATTTAGTTTACTAAATCCAATTCTAGTGTACAGAATTTAAATGGTTTGAAATGAGGTCTCCAAATCCAGATTACCCCAATGCATGGGGCTCTTTATGGACCTTTTGGCCTTTACCTTTGTCAGAGAGCATTTCAGTCAGGAGACTTTAAGGGGCTCAATCTGGGCTTAAAATCTCAGGGAAACGGCATTCCCCAAAGTCCTTGTTAGGGTGAGCATTAGGAAAGACTGTAGCAGTGTGGCTGCTGAAATAGTATAAAGTCATTCTCATTAGGCTATGGAAGCTAAACAAGGCAATCAGTTTATTCAGGTATTCTAGCAGCTACAAAAATGTGAATGTGGCTCCTAACTGGAAATAGAATCCTGGTTGAAAGTCAGGGTAGGATAAGCAGGAATACGCAGAGAACAGAGCTAAGGTGAAGGCAATATAAATTGAGACAGGAGAAAGTAAACTGAATAAATGATACCTTGTATTAATATATAAAGAAAAAGCAGTGAAGTGATCATTTCCTAATAGCAATTATGAAATTTACACAAAGAAGAGTTAATAAAACTAAACAGATCAATTAATAATGAATGAAGATGACAAAAATTCATTGCAGATTATCTTCCAAATGAGATGTCACTTTTTAATTAAAATAAATTATTGTATATTTTAATTATCAAAATCTTATTCTTTTAGAGTGTGAATATTTACATTTGTATATTTAAAGGATCTTATCTATTCAATTTTGCTTACTCTACTCTTTTCAAATATATTTAACCACTAGACTACTTCATTTTGGTATCATACATTAACAACTTTTACCATTTGAGAGCTTTCCTGCATTATTTCTGATGCTTTGCTAAATGTCAATTGGCCCAGACAGTGAGTAATCCAAATGGAAGTGAGTGACAGAAGAATGTCATTTCTAAGCAGCATAGAAGAAAATACCTAAGAGAAAACCCCATTCATCACCAAGCACATGTTCCAAGGGCTATAACATATGGGGCATACTTGAAACAGCAGAGTGTGCTGAAAGACATCCCAAGAAGGAAAAGTTGTTTATGGAGTTCATCAATCTCTAGCGCTTTTATTTTATTTTATTTATTGTTTTTTTTTATTTCAGCATATTACTGGGGTACAAATGTTTATGTTACATATATTGCCTTTGCCCGACCTGAGTCAGAGCTTCAAGCGTGTCCATCCCCCAGACGGTGCACACTGCACACATTAGGTGTGAATATACCCATCCCCCCAACCTGCTTGACACCCGATGAATGTTACTACTATATGTGCACTCTAGAGCTCTTTAAAAAATGGATTTGTACAAAGCCATCAACACTGCAAGGTTCAGAAGGAGTAGGTCTGCTGCTCTGTGCCAAATGCCGGATTAAGCATTGGATGTTGGTCATCTTGGTTGAGTCCACGTCTTGTGAAACGTTAGCATGCTTCTGGCCATTCTAAAAGGATTCAACTCCACTATTATTTCAAAATTCCAAGGCTACTGAAAACTGGGTTTTTACACAGTCACCAGATTTATAAGCTGAATGTTTTTCAGCCGGAGCAACTGTAATGCTCACTAATCATTATGTATAAGAATAAGATTCTCAATAATCTCACCTGAAAACACAAACAAGCAAAACCTACATCACCATGGTTGCATTAAATGGAGTGCTTCTTTAGGACAAAGAAATTATATTCTCAGTATCTGGGTATGGGTTAATATATGTTGTCCTCTTTTCTGTGTTTATATGATTAAACAACCCTCACCCATCTGTTTGCTTTCTTTTGTTATTTTTGTAGCTAGATTCAATCAAGTAACACATTAGCCCTATTTGCCTGAGGGTTGTTATATTCCCTTTTAGGTGTCATCAGATATCTCTTTCTAACCATGGCATTCACTGGATTATGTAGCTCAGAGACAATAGCAACATTATTTCCCCTTTTTCAAATGCTGTGCTTTGAAGAGGAGTGCACCTGTAAAAAAGATTTCTTAAACTTAATTTGGGATTTCATTCATAGTAAAAATAAGAAAATAGGAAGAAATGTCTGGTCAGCTGTGGTGGCTCACGCCTATGATCCTAGCATTCTGGGAGGCCTATGGGGGAGGATCGCTTGAGATCTGGAGTTCAAGACTAGTCTGAGCAAGAGTGAGGTCCTGTCTCTGCTAAAAATAAAAAAAGCGTAGCCCGTCACAACTAAAAATAAAAACAAAAAATTACCCAGGCGTGGTGGCTCACACCTGTAGTCCCAGCTACTAGGGAGGCTGAGGCAGGAGGATTGCTTGAGCCCAGGAGTTTGAGGTTGCACTATAGCCAGGGCAACAAAGTAAAACTCTGTCTCAAAAAAAAAAAAAAAAAAAAAAAAAAGGAATAAACACTGCAAAAAGGAAGTGAAATGAACAAATTTGTCTTAAACAATCACTAATGATCATCTAAATGTTTTAACTTTCAGTGAGATTAAATTTTACTTTAACATACAAAAAAAAAGCATTTAAGTCCATAAGAATTTGATGTCCTTTGAAATAAACTGATTTTAGGCATATGACACATATATGTCAATAAGACATACACTACTTCTACCATAAAAAACAAACTAGTGAGAAAGAAATTTCCAACTATGGTAGCAGAGGGGCTAGAAAAGCACTATAAAGAGTGTGGCACTCATATATTATGTCCTGCTTGTTTAGATGACACTTTGGGACTGAGTTTGACTTCTCAGATTTTCCATCAAAAAGGCAACGAAACTCCTGGTGGAGTAAGGAATAACAGCCAAGGCACCATCTAAGAGGAAACACAACGGAAATTTCCATAGTAATGATATCTATCCCATGGGAGAACTCTCAGGAATTGAGATCAAAGGAGGGATTTGGAAGACGTGAGTGGTTATGGGTAGTTGACCTCACTATAGTCTTCTTTGTACTATGTAGGCCCAATAAAATTGGTCTCTTTTACAAGCCCACTATGAATCTCAGATCTCAGATCTCAGCCTATAAAGGCAGCTTAGAGAGGAAAAGAATATATCAGGTTACTAGACAGAATAATTCCCACCCTAAAATATGCCCAAGCCCCACAGAAAACATCTCATGTGCTTAATTTTATTGTTTGAACTAGTTAATATTTTTAGAATAATACAGTTGGATAGCCAGGAGCATAAATATATGGAGAGGTTCTATGACTCCCTGCATAGCACATTTATGAGATTTATTTTTCCCTAAATATATTTGATTTGTCATCTCTGAGATAGTCTCTTACCATATCAGTTACCTAAAGAGGCTTTAAGGCCCCAGAGAGTTTCATTTACCATTTTGATAACCATCCCAATATAACCTTCCAAAGATTAAAATATTTTGAACATGGACAAGAGCAAAATATGATATATTAATGTCACAACTTAATCACAGTGGGGATCCTATGGTTTCTAGAGTCAAGTGCATAGAATTTTTGATACTGTATAAACTCATTTATATCCAAGAATTGGGCTTCAACAACAATGGGAGCTTAACCAACATCTCTGCCTACTGAGAATCTCTACTTGATTCAACATAAATTTCATAACTACATATTTCAGAATGATGTCAACATCTACACTCACCAACTCAAATAAATAAATAAAACTGTCTCCTATTATGTTCTGTATCTCAGTGACTAGTACCAGTATTCATTCATTTGCCCAAGACAGAATCCTGGAAGTCAAATATGATATCACTCTTTTTTATTACCCAAATCACATTAAACACTGTTCTCTGCCAATTTATTTTATATATCCTCATATTAGCATTCAAGGATGTTCCCATTCTGCCTCTAGCCTACCACATTGCTTTATCTCATATCAGCCTCATATTCTGTTCATACACTATAACCAAAGCCACTGGAAAAAAAGTTGAGCATATTTGGAAGTCAAAGTTTTCTATGACTGGGATAAAATATTAGAATGTATGGCATTGGAATAGACTATATAAAGTCTATTTTTAAAATTAACTTGATAAAAACAGCATGTATATCATCACTAATCCGGTGGTCAACATTAGTATCATTATTAGATACAATACATCTACAGTAAATATAATACCTAATATTATATTTAATATAAATAAACATAAAATGTAATACAACGTCACAGACAATGTGTACTAGCCCAAAATGTTTGACTTGAATCCATTGAGCTTTCAGATACAAATTCCAGTTTGTAGGAAATACAAGGCTAAGAGGAACAACCTCAGTGATTTCTTGAGAAGCAACCATTCAAATCTAGAAATTTTGTACTTCAAGTGGCCTAATTTATGCAATGAACCAGTATCTTTTATTTTTTTTTCTTAAGTATCATATTTAAAAAGACTTAAGGGACATAACCAGATGCAATGTGTGGTCCTGGATTAGATGCTGATTTGGGAGCATTGGTTGTAGAAAAATATCCTTTGGTCAACAGAATACTTGTCTGTACTTAGGTATTAGGTGAGAGGAAATTTTCCTGAAAGGATATTACTAATTTGGGAAAGTCAACTATAAAAAAATATT